TTCAAAACCAAAATGATTTTGTCTAGTAAAATGATGTTTAATTGTTCTTATAGTACCTATTATTATAAAAATTGTTCCTATAATAACATGTAAACCATGAAAACCTGTTAATAAAAAAAAAGTTGTACCATATATACTATCAGAAATAGTAAAAGATGATTCTATATATTCAAAACATTGAATAAATGTAAAAAAAATAGCTAAAGAAATTGTTAAAATTAAGCTTAAAATAACATTTTGTCTAGAACCTACAATAATAGAATGATGTGCCCAAGTTATTGTTGCACCTGAACTTAATAAAATAATAGTATTTAATAAAGGAATTCCCCAAGCATCAATAGTTTGTATACCTAAAGGTGGCCAAACTGAACCAATATCTGGAGTTGGAGCTAATGCTGAATGAAAAAAAGCCCAAAAAAAACCAAAAAAAAACATAACTTCACTTAAAATAAATAAAAGCATACCATTTCTTAAACCTAATTGTACTTTAAATGTATGTTGACCTTCATAAACAGCTTCTCTAACGACATCTCTTAACCAAGTATACATTATAAATAAAATTATAATTAAACCGAGTCCAAAATCCATATTGAAAAATTTGAACTTAATGTTTGCAATGGAGCGGGTGCGTGACGCTTCGCGTTCTCTCGCACCTTCGACTGTTGTGAAATGTTGGCGATGAAGAGGTATTCTTGACACGGATGTGTCGGATTTGAGCATTCAAATGGATGTATTACATTTGGAAGAGATGTTATTGTATATTGTAACCCCTTGATTTTATGAACTACGAAAATGACATGTTTTTAGATACAGAGGTCCACCACATTTTGCTCTCTGGTACTCAAAATGTATGAACTGTACACTGTACCGTAATACGATTTCAACATTAAGTTTTCAGAGGGCATTTGAACGCGCTGTCGTGCTTTGAAATTTCAAATGTGAGGCAGCGTCGATGACAAGTAGGAAAAGGCATTCAGCAAAATTAAGGATACCATTAAGCCGCGAAACAAGCGATTGACCATTAATGACAAGAACTAAATTCGAGCCTACTTCAAGGCAACGCGTTCTTAAAGACACCTTGGGAGTGCGTGACATCAACGGCAGAAAATTCGAAACTGCTGGAGCCACACGGGTATTGTTACTCGTGAAGCGCTATTCGATCAGCTTCATTCGGTGCGGATCACCTCAGGCCGTTCGATTGCAAGTTTGCTCAACTGAGCCCAACATCACCTTTACAATATTTTGTTTGTGCTTTTTTTGAGTTTCCAAATGTGTGTTAGAATATATATTTTGAAGGTGGAGCGAAATCTGGTGGATCTCTGTATGTCCAAGTCGGGGGAGGAGATCAGTAGCGGAATTTGCTCATGTGTTCAGGATGCGATGTCGCCATTTTTATCCCAAATTTGTGAACGACTACCACTGGGTGACCTTTGCTGTTTTTCTTGTGCAACTGTGCCCCTCTAACGCTTGTCGCCACTTCAATGTCATGATACAGTACAGGCTGACACCAAAATTCCAAAGTCTGAGCGGCGCGAGGAATCAAGTTATCAACCGAGTACAGTAATCGCGCTGTCGAATGGCCAGAGGCATTACGCAGCGTCGGGGGCTCTCGGGAAACGCTACGGCAACAGCTCGTGATGGTAGTTGGAGGCGTCGACACAACACAGTCACAATTTTTCAAAGAGGTTGATTTATGAACTGTACCCCGGAAACATTATTCCATATCATTTTTTACAAGGAATTGATTTGAGTAGTACGCACGAGTTGTGCGCTCCTGGTTGCCAGCAACGAGCTGTACATATATACTTCGAAGAGTTTGCGACTGTTGCTCCCGCTCACCGCTCTAGAACGAAACAGTTGTGCATTGGTCGATGGCCGGTCCGAAAGCGGAAGGCGGTACGTGTGAGGAAGCGATGGATGTCCAAGGTTTCAATTCGAGAACTAAATGAACCCTTGATTGAATGATACATGCTAGTATATGTGTTCTGTTGTGTGCGCTGTACAAGCAGCTACAGACGACAGAGAGACAAATCGAAAAGTGAGTTGGTCCTCTGTCGAATCCTCGCCCGTCACCGACGCTACTCGGTCGTTTGCAGAATGCAACAGAGAAGCCATGCCATCCCAGACCTCGTCATGCTGGCCCTTTCATCACCGAGTTCTTTTGATGATCCTGAGTCTAAACTTCAACGATCGCGCGAACCTTCCACGGCCGCCAACCACGACGCACAACTACGTCCAAACGGGATATCTACTCAATGCGCGGGATCTCTCTTAACCGCAAGACAATGTTTGGTGATTAATCGCATTGGCTTCTTGTCGAGCAATGCCAATCATGTGACAACTTTTGATGTACCAGGGCCATCATGGACACTTGTGGAGGCAAATCACATGCTTTGCCCACCTCGACCAAACCATGCTGCAGTGTGCTTCCTCGTCCTGTCCTTGTCAGTATTTGAACGGTCGCATCTCGTCCATGACTGCATGGGCTCCACAACCCTTGACACAAAATAAGTGCTCAAGTATACGTTTCTAAAGGTTATTAGTTCTCAAAGGGACCCCTGGTCCAATCGCTCTGAATGGGTGGGAAGAAATCCATTGACAGAGGGCTCATGTACGTGTGGTTGGGTCGGGCCTTTCAGCGTCGCGAAATCTCGAGCAGGCTTCGCGCTCCCTCCACTTCCGTTCGTTGACCATACTTCATTACCCAGCAGCACCAGCAACGTGCCCATCAAAGTCAACGCACGTGTTCGAAATGATACAGTGTCATGCTCTCCACCCCCTCGAAAACGAAAATCCTCAGTGATTTGCGAGAGCTTTGGGTGTGGATGGCGAGGTCGGGGCGAAGCTCGACCAACGCGATGATGTCCCGCTAGAGCAGCGCTATCGGGCCCTGGTCTACTTTGTCATGGGAGCTTCAGCAGTTGCCATGGCGGGAGCGAGCCGCCTTGTGTTGCTTTGCATGCGTAAGCGAGTCGACGAAGTATACAAATCTCCATATCGTTTATCTGAGCCAGGTGGTGGTTCATGTGGTTGAAGTTGTCTCTGGTCTCGGAGATGCTCCTTCCAGTGGCCGTCATGGGCAGACCGTAGTTCCGAATTCACAGGATGTTGCGCACGCTCGCTTCGATTGTGCTCGGTGGCGCCATGTGGAGCGGTGCCGCGGACGCCACGACCGCCACCGCGCACAAGATCACGTCGCTTCCTGGCTACAACGACGCCAAGCCCATCAACTTTGACCAGTATGCCGGCCACATTGCGCTGCCGAGCAATGGCCAAAAGATGTTTTACTGGCTCGTCGAGTCGGAATCGAGTCCGTCGACCGACCCGTTGGTGCTGTGGCTCAACGGTGGTCCTGGCTGCTCGTCGCTCGGTGGGTTCTTCACCGAGCTGGGACCGTTTGTCG